TTAAATATCGCATGCGATTAATCGTGCAGCCCTAATATATATATATATATATATATATATATATACATACACACAATATTTATAGTGTGACCAGATTTTTCATGGTGGAATATGGGACAGGTGGGCAATATGACCATGATATAAGAAATTTTATTTCATGATATCTATATAATATTCATATATCTATAGTTATTTTTTTCATATAAAAAATAACAAAGAATCAAATTACAAACCATAGGACAAATACAATAGAGATACAAATTAAATAAACTTGTTTTTTAATACAGTAGGTTTATTTAAAATGTATACATTTAACATCTTTTGTTGTTTGATTAACATTAATGACAGACGTATTTAATTAAGCTGCTGTCCCTTTAAGTAAGCATTGATGTAATATACTGACGCTTATGCAGTTTTCACCCTCCTGTTTAGGTTCACTTAAGCCATAACCGACTGCATTTATGTGAGATACACCACACGATGGACATTTTAACAACTGTGTGTGTATTTGACAATTCAGGCGCAAGGAGAGAACTAGAATCACACGTGTGCGCGAGAAAGAGCGCTTCTAGCGTGTGTCATTCAGTGTGATTCCACCTATCCTGCCAAGTATATGTTCCAGTTTTTTTTATTTGTTTGTCTCTAAGCATTGAAGACCACAATGGCTCAGTTACTGTGTCTGCAGCTCTCTAACTACCTCAATTAGTCTGGCCAGGCTTTTGAGCAGCAGAGGTTCTCTGCACATACTGACTTCATTAAAAGTAAGGATGATCACACACAGACCGACAGACACACACACAAACAACTTAAGCTTTACGAAGATCCCACCCCAGCAGTAGTATGATAGGCACGGAGAAGCAATTGAAAACTCTTCACTGTCATGGACACTGCCCCTCCATCTTAAGAGAAACCCTGGCATTTGTTCTCAGGTCAGGGCTCAAAAACAAAGATGGCCAGTATGAAAGTTTTGGAACAGGTCAGTGATATGCAGTCAATACATCTCACATCTGTTGGTCATGTACATATACTCATTCAATTATTTGTACAATTGATTGTACAGAAAACATAATCTGCAATCAAAAAACGATCATATTTTTCTCATGTACATAAAATGTTGCATAAATATGATAAAATTATTATATTATAAAAATTATATTTATATATTTTACATTATTTGATTATTATAAAACATTGTTTTAAGATAAAATAGTAAATTTAAAACTATAAAATAGACAAAAACAACTGTGCATTTATTATCATATTTTTACATAAATTATATTAAATAAAATATTACATTAAAAATATAAAAATAGAAATATATTTGCACTTAACAATAATAATAATAATAATCAACCATTATTATTACTATTATTATCATTGTTATATTTTTATATAAATTGTATATTATAATTACTTTTCAAAAACGTTATAAAAACATTTTTAGCAATATATTAATGTATGTTATTTACATTTATTTATTTATTTATCTGTCTGTCTGTCTGTTTGTTTGTTTGTTTGTGTAATGAGGCCAGTAAAAATATTAGCAGAGCTAGAAAAAAAAATGTAACTATGCCAGCAGGGGGAAAAAAAATCTGTTGAGCCTGGTCACGTGGCTTAATAACTGGAAAGGAAATTCATACATTTCTAAAAAGATTAAAAAAAAACAGAAGTCCAGACAGAGTGGACAGACATAGAACATCTCTTACTCTTAAGAGTGACTGAGACTCTTCCTTGGCGCTCTTGCCCTCGGTAGAAGTTGGGTAGTGCTGCCCGGCTTTCTCTGCAATGCTGGTTGGCGTCCCTGGCAGGTAGCCTTTAGCATCTGCGCTGAGGCTGAAGATCAGTCCTGATGAGTCTCTAAGCATGGTCGCCCCCTTCTGCTGCTGCTGCTCTTTTACCTCGGCTGCCACAGCATTCAGTAGACCCAGTGTGGCCTGGGGGAACGGGGTTGGGCTTCCCCTAAGAATCTCCCCTGCACGTTCTTTGGGCACCCACACCAGGCTCTGCACGTGTTGTTCCCCACCTCGGACTCCACCGCCAGTCACAGGTCCCAGCGCTTCAACCCAGCCTTTCTCCTTCTCATCCTGAGCCTCACTCTTCACAACCTCTGAGCCGGGAAGCGGCTCAGCTCTGCTGGGCTCTGGAGGCACCAGGCTATAGAGTTTCAGATCACCTTTGCTCTCCTCTTTGATGCGGAGGGTTGAGGGGGCAGAGCAGCCGTTGGCAGGAACAGAGGCTGGATCCGCAGAGTCCTGGCAGTGGGCGGAGTTAAAGTGGTCCAGCAGTGCCGTGGTGTCCGTGGCAGTGAAACTACAATGTCGACAACGACAGCAGCCGTGAACCCTCCTGCAAAGAGTATAAGAGATGGTCTCAGCGATCATGATCTATATCATTCTTCATGGATAAAACAGTCATTTCGCATACTACCATGCTATTTGCCCCCTGGAGAGTCATCTAAGAGACAAAAGACTAATCCACATCCTGAATGTGTGTACTTTCTCCTTATCTGACGTCTCTGCCCCCCTGAGCTTGGTCTGAATCTCTGTAATGTTGTGTAATTACAGTTTAGTCAGCTATTTTCGTCTGCATAATGGCTCTTTGTTCTGTTCCAAATAAAGGAAACAAAGAGCTGCTCCAAACTCTCTGCAGAGGAAAGCTAAATGAACAGTCTGCTAACCTTTAGGTAAATGATAGTGACATTCTCTCCAGAAACACCAATGATTTTCTATAAGCTTGTACTTCCTGTTTGAAATTGACCACTGTCAAAGAAGTACAGGCGAGTGTACCCCACCCAAAAAAACTGTGTTTATTTTACATGCATCAGTAGATGTGCTTGGACAATGGCCATTCATTGATAGGTTTGGCTGTAAGTGCTAACTGTACCACAATGGAGTATTTTCGCTGAATGAGAGGTTTAGAAAGCAAAAAAGTCCTTAGTGTCGAACGTTCAAAGTCAAATCAAGTTATTAATACCCTTTGCCAAGATCATCTATAAATGAAATAATAACAATAACAATAATAAAAAAAAAAAAAACACGTTAACACGCTCATCAAGTATCAGCAATTCAAATGATGTTGTATAGTTATACAACGGCTCCTCAAATCTAAGCAGCGTTTCAAGATGCTGTTATCTATTGAGTCCAACAGAACTATGATATTTCACTGGGAACTGGAAATGGACAAATGTAGTGGTTTTGCACTGCTTGATGATCTGGCTTCTTTTGGAATTATTCTGGGGGAAAAAAAATCCAAAAACTATTTATAAAAAAACTGCCATTTAAGTTACTTAGTAATAGCTTCTTGTTTATAGAACCACTGTACAAATACACCTTGTACTTCTGTAATATTCCTTAATATAAAATATGACTAGCCCAATAAAACAAAATACAAATGACTTTAGACACAGGACTGAAACTCAGTGAATTCTGTGCACCTAGGATGAAATGTTATTAATGATTCAAAAGTTTGTGGTAAGAAATTAGTTTTTCTTTGTTGAAATATTTTTTTTTTCAGCAGGTACACCTTTGATTGATCGAAAACAGTAAAGACAGTGACAGTAAATACACTTATAACGTCACAAAAGATCTATTTTAAATAAATGCTGTTTTTAACTTTCTATTCATCATAGAATCCTGACAAAAAAAATCTAACACATTTTCCACAAAAATATTAAACAAAACAACAAGTCGCTCATAAAATAAGATATATAAAACTTACAATGTAAAATTTCACAAATCCAGAATTCTACAAGTGTTTATGTGTGTTCATGTACTTGTGTATAGAAATCTGGCTAAATGTAATAAATGTGGCATCTAGATGTTTTGCTCTCTTCTTTGACTTTTTTATCCATCCTGGTTCAACACAAGAGTGTATTCTTTGGGAAACGAAAGCTATCTGGTGTTATCATAAATGCCCACTAGAGCCCTATCCTTCAAGCTGAATATCAGTGTAAGAGTTTCCTTATTTTGTGAAAAACAAAAAAACAAATAAAATCTGAGATCTGTTACCCAGTAAACAGCCTCTCACAATCTGACAATATATCGAACCTGGATGGATAAAAAGCAAGAGAAGAAGAAAGAGAGCAAAACAGCTAGATGCCATATCTGCCCCTCTAAGCACCAAAGTAGGGACAGAGTGTAAAAGTGCTTTTCATCATTGCTGCTGCCTGACTTTCCCAGCATGCAGTTCTGTAATTTGTTCGTCTTAGGTACACGAAGGCAGGGGCAGATCAAACATTGGTGCATTCCAGCGACCGGTGAGGTGTGAGAAAGCATACGATCCGTTGCATGATTACAGACAATACAATGTTTACATCTCAGGGAAAAAAAACAAACATTAGGTACACACATCCAAATATTACTTTGTAAAGTCCAAAAAACAACATAACTGCACATTTATTTTGCTATATTTTAGGTCAAAGTCATTTAAAGAAAAACATCACATCTAGAAATAAATGGACATCTGAAGACCATTTAAACTTCTGTGAAGTTGTTTTATGAGGACCAGTTACCGTAAGCGACAGACACACAGATTCATTCAGTTATCATTAATCAGTACCAGACAAAACTAGCTTTCCCCACCACCACCAACCAAGACTCAACTGTTTTCCAACAAAGCATGGGCTGCTTCCAAAACAAATCGTAGTCTTTGGTCACTGACACGGAGCATAAATAAGTTCGTCAAACCCTGCAACCCAGAACTGATTGTTTTCTGGCATGAGTTCTGTTAAAAGTTAAGTTTTTAAATGGAATAGTTGATGTGAAACTTTATTCTAACACGCAATGTCTTCATGAACTTAATCGTACGGGTTACATTGACAGTCCCATTATTTTCTAAAATGTAATGTTATATTTTCTAAAACATCTAAATGACATAATTATTGTATTTTGCACAAACTACTGTATATAGCTAATACCTCTCTCTTCGTTGTTTGTATTTATGTATATTTCTATTCTGCCAATCCTTGTGTGCCGTTAACCAGTCTTTAAAACAATGACAATAAAGATCTATCTATCTATCTATCTATCTATCTATCTATTGAAACAGAAAAACAAAGTTATTTTAAATTGTACTACTATTTGTTTTCTTTGTAAGTGTGCTTAATGATGAAATGAAAATATTTCTACTTAATATTAAGATGCATACATGATTTCACCTAAAAAGCAAGCAGCAACAAAAACAATTCCCCTTGTGTAACCTCAGTGGATGTAATATAATACTCTCATTGAAGTTCATTTAAATTAACAGTAAGTAAATAATGAAATAAATACACCTGATTTCTGTAAACATCTGTTAATGTCAATCACAAGTACAGTGCATTACTACAGTTAATTATGACAGTTTCGTCAAATTATTTTTTATTAAAATGCTGACAGGTTATCACATTTCCTATGATGTCAAGAAAACACATTAAGAACATAAACAAATTAAAGTGTTAATCCCAGCTGCATCTGCTTGATAATGAGGTACATGAAGGAAATACTATCAGATTAGAGTAGTACATGTTCAAGCTGACATTCAAAAGTTGTCAACAGTACCAAAGACCATGAAAAAAAAATGTAAAGATGCTGATGCACTATGGAATTTTTTGGTTAAAAATTAACAAAACAAAAGTGCGAATGATCTTCTTGCCTTACCCCGATTTACAACGGTGAGCTTATAATTATTATTTATGATTTAAGCTGTCGGGTCAGATTTTGTGGGAAATGTCAGTCTTGCGTCATTCCTCTTTGCGTGATTACGTCACAATGGGAGGTGTGTTAATAGTTTGACAGCTAGTAAATAACTAATGAGCAACATTATTAACACAATGGATCGTTCAAAAAAGGCAACCATCTGAGGAATCATCTGTTGTTAAAACAAAACAAAAAACTCCTTTACAAGCATAAAGGAAAATGACAGAGCCTTGTAACACAACTCATCAACTGGCATTTCAGAGACTGTGACAACTTCATAGTGATAGTGAGATGACTTCAAAGGATTTAAATCAGCCTAGACATGGCCTTTTCTTGCTGCCTTTTTTCCTTGAATCACAACTCTAAAAAGCAGGTAGCAAAAGCAGGTTACCTCATTTGACTGGGTCACAAGAAAGAGTTCAAAACGCTAGCAAGGAGTTTGTCTTTTCACCCCTCTTATACTGAGGCAGAGCCATAATCACTGTATAAGGGGTCAGCATTCATCTGCACAGCCAGCAAATGTTGTGTAATCATTCAAAACTGTATGAGCATAAGTGTGTGAGATTATGTACCGAACAAAATTTTATGCTACCTACTTCCTCCACTATAATTTCCTCAACACTTTCAATTTAATTGTAATCACAGGTTATAGATTAACTTTTTTCAGTTTCATTTTGCAAAGCATCAAAACAACATCATCGATTTAAGGGGGAAATACTTAAAAACATGAAAAAATGGATGAGAACCTATATCGATGTCAATAACGGTACTGAGTGGCAGTAATTTGCGCTTGTGAAAATGAAGCCCTTTAGCTATGCACCAGCACACCTGCTCAATACTACCATTTTACAGTACACAGAGCAGAGCAAAAACGTTACCGACACCATCCCCGTGACATTACACAGGAAATGGAAAAAATGGGTACAGCACGGCCTGCTGCTTACCTGACTGGGTGACAGAAAAACTATTTGGAGAAAAATCACAGTAGGGGGTTCAAATGCAAGCTCATCGGCTCATGCAATTCTCAGATCACACACACACACACTCTGCACGGTCTGAGCTGAGAAGCAGGAGCTCTCCAGGGAGGCCATACAAGTCTGATTTTGGCTCTCTCCTTGCCGGGTTCCAGGCTGTGGGCTCTGAATACAAGCAGCGCCTTATTCAGAAAGGCCGCACACACAGGCTGAAAACACTCTGCTCCACGTCCACCTGAAACAACCAGCCCCAGGCAGCTGGATCATGATGGACGTCACTCAAGGCTTAAGCGCACAAAAACCTTCACACATGTTCCTTAAGGGACAGGTGGGTTTAAAAGGCCTTAAAATTCAGTCTTTCCTGACATGAGTGCCAACTTGACAAATGATTCCTTCGCCAAGATCTTTGACAAGTCAGATTAGATCGTTGATCATTTAGCAACATGTGAACCTGTGCAATTACGGAAAAAGTTTAAATAGTAGGAAAACTGTGCCTGTCATTCAGTTATGTGTGACTTCTTTGTCCAACGACTATGTATGTGTGTTCTTATGCATGTAGAATGAATTATGAATAGGTTGGAAATCAATTCTCATTCAAAACTGGGTTCCTTAAAAAAATTAAATATTGAAACCAAATTGATTTTCATGACATTTGACTTACTTCTAGAATAGCTGCATTCCTCAACAGATGTGGATGGAACACATAATAAAATATACAATACATGCATCAGAGCCACTTTAAACTTGAGTGTTGTTGTGGGTTGTTTTGTCAGCCTTGCACAAGAACCAATCAATTAATGTATTTATCTGTATTTATACAACAGTTCATTCTGGTTCTCAAATCTGATTGGTTGAGAAACGTGAGATATTGTACTGGTATCACTACGGGAACACCCTTTCACAATTTTGTATCACTCCGCTTCCTAGCCGGGTCTATGCTTTTTTTTTTATTCTTCACTGAGCTAATCGTAGATTACGTTAGTTAATATAAGAAGAAACGTCTAGCTTCGCGGTCTCTCTCTCTCTTATTCGGATGCTCGTCTTGCCGCATTGTTTCTCTCTTATAATATGTTTAACTGCCAACTTGAGCTTTGAATCCGTGGCGGAAGGAAGTAGTTCCGCACAAAAGAGGGTTTTATTAGGCACTCCGTTGTTTCTTGTTTAATTACACACATGTTCTGTCGAACTGTTGTATAAACGCAATATCACTCTCGTACTCAAGCGATACCGGCTCTATATCAGCGGCTGTGATTGCCTCGTGCCTCTGGCCTAATCACAGCCATGCTGATATAGAGCCGGTATCGCTCTCATACTCGAGTGATATTGCTCGTATATATATATATATATATATCACATCTGTTTCACCTTTGCAACAGTTTTTTTTTTCCATAAGATGTGATGCACAAACCATGACTCACTAACCAACTAAATTATAAGCTTTGCTAGAAAAAAAAACAGCTACATGGGCATGGCTAGATGCAGTAAACATGAACAGATTATTACATTATTTTTCAGATTACTTTTTACAATTGATTTCTGATGTTTTTACTGTTCTGCTGCCTGAAATCTGAAATTATCTGATCATTTGCAACAGGTTGCTCGGAGTAATGAATGAAATAAGATTAAGAATATCCCATCATTGTTAATAAATGTCACATTAAAATAAAACAGAAGTGAGAATACAGTCATAATGTTAAGAGAATACATAAGAAATTCAATTTATTGTAGAGAAAATTTCAGATAGATGTGATTCGGTTTACTGTTCTCCATCACATTGATGTTACATTCCCTATGACTTTATTGTTATAATATTACAACTGTAATCACATAATGCTATGAAATTTTAGTTTTTTGTTTGTTTTTGTTTTAAAAATGGCACTAAAACACCATCATAGTTTAGGAACCATAATCGTTAAATGGAATTGGTACCAGAATTGTTAAACACATTTTAATAAATACTTTTAAAATTAAACTGAAAAAAAAAAGAGATTATTAAGAAAGTATTGTATAAGTATTTCTTATAAAATATAAAATCTATTGTACATGCAAGATACTACCGATTTGTTATTGGGTTCATTTTGCCATGTAAACATCAGTAGTAAAACTGCTCAGAAGAAGTTCTTGCACATAATATGGCACAATATACTGTAATATCAAACATATGTGGCATTGAGGTGGTTTGGTGTATTTACACAACACTTATATTAGATTTAGCAAAGTGCCTTTCTGTTCTCTTTCTACTGTGCCAAACTCAAGCGGACATATGGATGTCAGTGGTGCAGTAAACTAATTTTTATCAATAAATTCAAACCAGCACATGTAGACATGCCTGTAAACTCTGGCAGAAAATGGAGAGTAATTGAGATCTTATGTGAAGGTAAAGCAGAGCCATACACATCCGTACTCTACATACCACACAGCTGGTGAAAGAGAGAATATGGAAAAGTAATAATAGTTTTCCACACGTACACACTTAACAGACATATGCACATGCACACACACACACACACACACGCAAACAAACACTAAAGTGCACACATTTACATCTACGCACCTGGTCTCAAGACAAGCTAAATCAAAACCAATGAGGGACTGCTGCAGGAAAAGTTTCTCCCTGACGTTTAACATTTTCAGTTTATTCAGCTGTGTCGGTCGACATCAAGTAAAGTGCAAAAAAAAAAGGAAAACCTGTTACCTATCAGTATGAAAGCAAAACTGCCAACACAGAAACAAATGTGTAAAACAAGCTTGCTGGCTACAATCAACAGCTGCTTTCACTGTCCTATGCTATGCCATTTGCTACAATAATAAAATATTAAATATACATAATATCATTAATATTTCGAATCAGTTTTTATTTTTATATTTTCCATTTTCATTTTAAAGTTTTAGTAATTTTTTTTGTCATTGTTAGTAGTTTATGTCTCTATGTAGTTTCTATTAATTTTTATTTTTGTTTTAGATTTAGTTATTTTAGTACTTTAAAGCAAATTAAATAAAAAATGACAAATGTTGGAATTAGTTGAAATAAGTAAACAAATAATATGTATTAATATTTACATTAATAAAAATGTATTTGATTGTTTAAGCATGAAAGCAAAAAACTGTTTAACACAAGCTTGCTGGATTACCAGCCGCTCACTCTGTCCAATGGTCTTTTGCTACAATATATTAAATGTAACTATACTATCAAAATATTAAATAACTGAAAGTTAAACTAAATATTTTAAAGGTCCAATATTGTGTTTAATAACATCATATTTATATATTTAATGAACTGAGTTAAAGCGATGCAATCTAATGCTAAATAATAACCTCTTTTTTTTTTTAAATACACAGTTCACCCTTAAGACCCCTAGATATGGTTCGGGTCCCTCCATAAATTGAAGATTACCTTTCCTCAACAAGCAGCATAATTTGAGGTATCATTCATGTTTATAGCACAAACTGTACAGATATGAGTCACATATCACATATACAATTTGTTTTAAAAACAAAAATGTTAACAATAAATCCAGTAAGGACGGTAAAAAAAAAAAAAGGTGATTTGTTATGTGATTCTACCTGTAGTGACGAAAGATGTCCTCCTCTACTTCCGTGAAGAAATGGCACTTAGTGCAGGTGTACTCTCCAGGATGGACCCGCCCTGGCCCTGCATCTCCTGATCCCTCCTCCTCAGGTTTGACTTCCAGTAAGGTGTGCGAGGTATGGGTGCTGTCATAGTGCAAGAGAAGCAAGTCAATATCAGTCGAGGTGAACGGGCACTGGTCACACTGATGGGTGACGGACGCTCGGGGAGCTGGCGGGGATGGGGTAGTGGTCCCTCCGGCTGTTAGCTGCAGCAAAAGTAGAGCACAGTGTGAACAGGAGCTCTTACGGCAAGCGAAGGGATAGGAAATCTCCCCCAGGTGCTTCTCAGGAGTGCAGAGCCCACGGGGACAGAAGGGGCAATGTTTGATGGTGCACTTGTGAATGCTGTGAGCCCGTTGGTAGTGATGCAAAAGCGGAGCCACGATGATGACATCCGGACCGTGAGTCATGGAGTAACGAAAGTCACAGAACTGGCAGTTGTAACTGGTTACTACCGTTTCTGGGTCACTCGTTGCTCCAGTCTTCTCCTTTTTCCGTAAGTGGGAGTCTCCGTCATGGGTCTTTCTGTCCCTTTCCTCTGGACTTCCCTCCCTGATGGCCGCCTGGCCGTGTCTCTTCTCATAGTGCTCCAGAAGCTTAGAAGCACTGGTAGCTTCGCAACTAAAACTGCAATACTTGCACCAGTAATACGCTGCAGGGGGGTCACCTCCAGTGCGGCTAGGGGAGTCTGATGCCCTGATTGGTACGGAGTACCCAGCCACAGTGTCATCTTCGGCCCTCACCGCCACCCGATCGGCCCACTTCCCTTGCTCGTCTGCCTCAATGCGTGGAATGCAGTTCCCCTTCCGTTCAGTTGAGGACTTCTCCTCGAGGTTGGGGTTGGACGGAGGTGGACTCTTCATCTTGTTGGGGTGGGTGGCCAGGAAATGCTGCTCTAGGTCTACAGAAGAGCTTCCCATGTAGGTGAAGTTGCAGAACTTGCAGCGGAAGTACTTGGTGTTGCCCTGACAGTCCTGTGTCTTTCTTCCAATTCCGATGAAGGTGCCGGCTAGCGTTACCTGCGAGATCAGGGAAGTTGAGGGGGGGGATGGATGACAAAGAAAGAAAATTAGATAAAGGGAAAGAACAATCATTCGTGACTTACAGAGAATTACAGAGAAATATAAGTCTGATATAAGACAGACAACAGACTTTCAATAACCCTCCCAATCTCGAAGACGAGGCAGCAGTTATCACCACACAAAAGCAAATCACATTTTATGTTCTTATTACTTCTCAGCACTGAGAATTCAAAAATCCTTCAGTGAGCAGATGGGGAACATGTGAACCCTGTAGAAGAGTCAAAGAGTAAAGCGACCATGCATGCAGCCACAAAATGGATCTTTTCTGATTAATAATATCCAGGTGAAACTTTAGTTCTGATACTTTGAAATTAAATTGTGGATTTAACAAAACAGAAAGGAAAAAATGAATAGAACAAAATATATTTAAAATGCCTTTCAGTCACTAAATTAACTAACAAAAATATTTCTGAAATCAGTGTAATTGCATGTATATTAAAATATAGACAGATCTATGGCTTAAGATGCAATAGATGTCTGGCCTATAGACAAGAATATGGAATATTTATCTGGCAGTTACAGAGACAAAAAAGAAGCAATGATTAAATAAATACCCACTGCTTAATGTAATATGTGCTTGATTATAATTCTTACACATGCAGATTACAGATACAAAGTGGACTAAGCTGAAGCCTCGGCTGGTCGGTCTGTATCACCTGTCTGAGGAATTGCATTTAAGAAGAGTGCACTTGTGACACAGACTGCACAAACCTTTTTAAAATATAAACAAAAAATGATGTTATGGTTAAAGAAAGAAAGAAAGAAAGAAAGAAAGAAAGAAAGAAAGAAAGAAAAACAAAGAAACAAAGAAAGAGAAAAACAAATATCCTCCATAAAAATAGAAGATGCAACTAAAGCGACTTAGCCAAAACAAAATGTGATGTGCATAAAATTAAGTACAGTTATTATTTACTGTTAATTATTAAATAAAAAATAAAGCAAATTAAGTTAAGTAAATTATATAATAAGAAGAAAATTAAATAAAAAAATTAAGTAAAAAAATAATTACAAAGAAATTGTTTAAAACACCTATAAACACACTATTTCCAAAATATGTGTGCTATGTATATTTATGCATATTCATTAATCTTGACGCCTGTATTGAAATCAAGTTATCAAAATAAATAAATATATCATTATTCCATAATATTACATATATAATAACTATAATATAAATACTACATATAATAAATAAAATGCATGTTATGTTATAAAAATTAAAATAATATAGTTTTAATATTATTATTACTAAACAAGGAAACACAAGTGAAAACAGTTACATCAGTTATTTAGCAATAATTAAAATCATTATATCTGGCTGGTAAACTGGGCAAAATCACCCCTGCACTGACTAAAGCTAAATGCTTCCAAACTTGGCTCATTTCGTAGAAACCAAACTTAAATTGTAAACATGACATTGTTGAAGTGAAGAATGAAACCTTGCTGAAAGTTAGGCAGATAAATGACTATGACATCTGTTCATTACCCATCGTTTAAAATAAATCAACTCCGGTGTTTTCACTGGCTCCCCCCCTCCCCCCTTCCCCCCCTGAGAAATCGAAGTCGTCGATATTACTGCATGGAAAATTCCACTAGGAACGAATTTTGAATAGACTCATTATTCAAACTTTTTCCCTAAGAATTTATACGGTATTACGACAATTTGTAGACAGGCTGATGTTGAATTGAAAAAGATTGTGGCCGGTGTTATTAGAAGAAAAAAAAAACATCAGGTACTCTAAACTGCGCTGTGTGCTTGCTTGACTGAGTACATGCACATGTGCAAAGCAGGCTCATAATGGTCCATTTAAACATGATACACTGAGGCTAGTGCTACGATATATCAGCCAGAAGTCACAGAACAAAGCCAAATACAGTGTGCCAGCATGATCCAGACTAATCTCCTTCACATTTTTTGTTTGTTTGTTTTTATAAATCAGAAATCGCCAAGGTGATATGGCTAATCGGCTACCGATCAATATCGGCCGATAATCACATTGGGATGTTTGATCGGCAGTCTCTAAAAGGCCGATCTCAAAAAAACGATCTCAAGCTGATGACGCTGCCGTGAGAGGTTTGGCATGACATGCAGCGGCACCGTCTCAAGGCACGTTTCCATTACAGATTTGCGCAAAACTTTGGAGATTATTTTATAAATGTCGATAAAAAATTATTGCGAAATGGCGGCGTTTCCATTAACCAATGTTATGCGACTAAAACATAACCTTTTGCCTCTCACGATAAGTCATGGCAACGGATTTTGGTGGGATTTTGACGGATTTTGGCTATATTTATTCAAAGGAGGCGTATGCTTGTATCTTTACAGAAGCAGCACAGAGAGCCGCTTCAGAAACGTGCGTGGCGCGGCTGGATTCTGGAATAAACACAAGCATTGA